TGGACAATATATTATTAATTGTATCCTTCATATATTTTTTTTATTGTCAATATTCTTCATATCTTTGATCTCCCTCTACAAACTGCATGCACATGCTAATGAAATCGCCTTAAAATGCTTTATTTATTCAGAAAAATGTAAAACATATATAAACAACCCGCATTTTCCCCCTCATATGAACCATTGTTAACAATTATTTTTATTAGTACAAAAACAAAGAACATTTATTTGATTTGACTCATGAGGATCCATACAAGAATTCATAAATTTGATTAAACAAAGAAATTAAAACACACACATATATAACTCTATATATAGCAATATATCGTTATTCATTATTCTCCATACAAGGCCACATCAATAATGAGCCTTTAGCTCACATTATTGTGCATCCTGTCACGTTATCTTCGTTGACGTATTGTTCACAACGGCTCACGTAGCAAGGCTGACGTCCTCCACCATAGCTATCATAAGCAGGCCTGGCATAAAAATACCCTCCATAACATGTTGGAGGCCTACCATAACTCTCAAAGCATGGCCCACCAGGCCGGCCTTCATAGCACGGAACACAGCATGTTCTGTTCGGAACACAGGACTTGGGTGGACCACAACCCTCAAGGCATGGCCCACTACGCCAGCCTTCAGAGCATGGAACACAACACGTTCTATTTGGAACTGTTATCGGTTTCACCGGTGGATTCGGCTGGCACGGTAGGGGTTCAGTCGTGGGGTTTTCATCTTGGCACTTGGGCTTTCCCGGATCAACAGGTTTCTGGCACTTGGGCTCAGGAGGACATTCGATCTTCGATGATTCGACAATTTCAATGCTCATGATGGTACCACCACCTTTACAGCAAAGCTGATCCCTAATCCTCTCTGGGCTACAGCACACCACTTTAATCGTCACAAGGTCGTGCTTCTCATCGAACACCTGGTCTTGAATTTCTCGTGTTCACAAAAATCCAAAACCACACAAATCCACAAGATGAACTCAATTTTGTGATTTTGAAGAATAAACGCATGCGAATTTCAAAAGTGAATGAAGAAAAAGGAGGGAGAGGGAGAGAGCTGTGAGTGTTGAGAGAAACTTACGAGGGAATTGACAGAGAACATTCTTGACCTTCTTGGAGCATTTCTCACACTGGAGATCAACCTTGAGCTTCATTGTTGTCACCTAAACATATAATTACCAGAAGTAAGGAACAGAATCAGTATCGATATGATCGATATGATTCACGTGTATGATTAAACGGAAGAGATCATCAAAATGAGGATTTAGGAAGGAGATCAAAAGGAATTGTACGTACCTTTTTAGTCATGGTTGGATGATGAGGAAATGGAGCTCAGATGTGAGAGAGATGAAGATGATGGAAGTGGAAATTGAAAGTAATAATAACAGTGATGGAGTGGAAGAAAGCGAAGTGAGGTCCGCCTTATATTTTAGAGCATTTCTACCAATGTGGGAGCTCTAGTAGCATTTTTTGGTAGTAGTAGTTTATAGTAGATTTTTTTTTTGGCCATCCATATACTAGGTTTCATAACTTAATTTATTTTTTTTAGTATGGTTAGCTTATTTTAATTATTGGTCAAGCCTTTGCTACTCTAGTATCCTTTATTATCATTGCTATATCTTTTATTTATCATAGAAGAGTAGTTTATTTCTTGGTTAAGTAAGGTCAACATTACAAATTTTTTGGGCCCAAACATGCAATAATCTTTTTTCTGAGGATCTCCAATGACATTCTCTCTCTCTCTCTCTCTCTCTTTGTAGATGAGTGTTATACCATTCAAACTTTAAGAATATTTCAATAAAAAAAAATCTAAACTACATTCATTTTGATTTTTAGACTCAAACAGTAATAAATTTGGTGTGATTATATATAGTGGACATAAAAATCCATGATCGCATTTGGTGCTCATCAATGTGGAGAGCACTGAATGATCATCAGAATTATGAGTAATCCTGACCCTCCATATCAGCCCATATTGTTCCTACCATCCTTTAAATTAATTTTTAAATATTTTTAATATTATCTTTATTAAAATAAAAGATATAAAAAGTTTAATATTAAATCTTGATCATTTAGAGTACATTTAAATAGTTAGTTTGTAAAATTTATAAATTTTTAATATTAAATTAAGTTATCTAAATTATATCTGAATTGTCCAAAATCTATCTGGATAGTCAAACCATAAAATCATAAAAATTTTTAATATTAAACTAGACTGTTAAATTAAATCTGTATTGGTTAAATTAGTAATAAACAAATTTATTAAAATTTTAAAATTTTAAAATTTTTATATTTTATATTAATAAATATAATATTAAACATATATAAAAATTAATTTAAATAAATAAAAGGGATAAATTTAGATTAAAAATAGAGGGTTGCTCTTGGCTTTAATAAGTATGTAATGAAAACTGAATGCAAATCCATAAAAGTCCAAATATTTTTGCCAGGTCCCAAACTATTTTTTAAAGTGAAATAGTAATGGAGCAGTAGTGTTTGTTAACATGTCATTCTCTAGTGAGGTCACTTCATATAAAAAAGCCATTAAATCAGGCACATGCATCAGGCACCATGCCTCAAAAATTTTCTAACGTGACAAGGCCATTTCTTGTCTGCTTCCTAGCTAGACGGCATCACTGACCTACTCATGAATGCACCTTCTCTAACTGTACGGATGATGATAATGAAATATAACTGTAGTACGGACAAATGAATTATACATACATACATACATATTGTTAATGTAATATGCTGTCGTATGGTTTTGGAAGAGTACAAAAAGCTGGAAGTCATTGCATTTGAATTAGAAACAATAATCATATCTTTGGAAGAAGAACTGTCCGCATTGAATGAGAAAGAAGATCAAATATTTATCAATGGAGGTTTGGCTTCACAACTGGAAAACTTTACTGATAGGTTTGTGCTCTTGCAAGCTTCGTTTTTCTGCATGTCTCTTCTCAATTTTCAGCTTCAGCACTTTGATCTAGCATCTTTTATTATTTAAAAGTTGAAATCTAGGATCTTATTCTTGTCCATTCAGAGGCATCAACTTGAAGAATCTAATTCTTACCATGAAAAGTTGGAAAAATCTATCGAAGTGTTGGTTGAAGGAAAAGCAAGAGTTGGCAATGGTATGCAAACGCTATTTTCACTGTTGGTTGTGACGCATCTTTCCCTTGGTAGCTTTTTCTTTTTATCTAATTAAAGTTGATTTATTGCTTCATCTCCTTAATCTTGAAGCAACTTACACTCTTTTTTGTAAATTGATGAGGAAAAGGCAATATGGTCCGCAAAGAAGAAAGCTGTAGAGCTAAAGAAGAAAAAGGCAAGGTTAACAATGTGCTCCCATATCATTATATTATTATAGTAGACATTGACTGACAATTCTTTATTACAGTTATTTTTTGTATATTTATTGATAGGCTATTTTCACAATTCATATTTCTTTATAGTTACTTTTCTAACAGATTTGGATTATTTGAACTTGTAGATAGCTTTTGTAGTAATGATTATATATGTTGTTATCAAGAAATAATGTTGGATTTTGAAATTAGTTTGATATATTCGAACTTTGAGAATTCTATTTCACACTAATTTGTTGCTGGATTTTGTTTCTACATTATATAATGTAAGGGCCATTGGAAATATAGCCCCATATTTTAAAAAAAAACAAATGACTCAAATATATAGTAATTATTTTAAAATAACAGCTAGATAGTTGAAACTACATAGCAATTATCTTGAATAACCGTTATATAGTTTAAACTATATAGCATTTCTTTTGAAGTATCCACTATATATATCTCTAATATATGTAATGGTTAAAAAATGTTATATGTTGTTGTAATATTTAGTACAAAAATATATAATTTTTGTATCTTTTTTTTTTAAATAATTTTTTTGTCTTTTTTTGTAATTTTAAAGAATCAAAATTAACCTTCGTTAATAATAAAGATGATATTACATTATTTTTAAAAGCTAAAAAAATATTACACTAAAAATTAGTTTTTGGGTCCCATGCAAGTGCTCGAGAGCTTGTGGTCTGTTATGAATGGGCCTAGTGGATAATGGGCTCAAAAGCTTTATTCAATTGGGCTTGAGAAGGTGGAAAATGAGGGCATGAATGTAACCGATAAAATGTTGAAGCAAGTATTGAGCAGACCATCAAAGATTTTGCTAAAAGCTTGTTCCCCTCGAGTCTGCTTTCCTTCTGCCTGAATATTCTGCTCTACTTATTTGCATCCTTCTATTATTTTTGCTGTTATTGCTTTAATTTGGCTGCAATTGGCTTGACTGAGTACACCTTTAATCTAAGCTTTATTAATTGATGAATATTTCAAGTTGAATATCAGTTTTCTTCATTATATTATTTAATTCTTACTTAAGAATTAGTGATCATAACATGTCAATCGTGAATTAATGCTTTTAGAAAGTTCATTACTTTTCCAAAATCAAAAAGTGTGTGTGTGTATAAAGTGGACAAATCAATAAGCATCACCATGCTACTATGCATATTTCTTTTCCCACCAAAGTAGTTCCCTTATTGCACGATATTAATATAATATGTGAAATTTTTGAAAATTATATACAAAAGCAATTACATCGCAATCAAATTTTGTTTCATTTAGTACACTCATATCAAACCTTATCACAAGCAATAGTAATAATTCACTTCAATTGAGATAAAGTGACCCTTGATAATTCTTTTCCCTTTTTGTTTCAATTCATCAATTTATATATATATATATATATAACCATCGATTATAAGAATACAAATGGACAATATATCATTAATTATATTCTTCATATCTTTTATCTCCTTCTACAAACTGTATGCACATGCAAATGAAATCGCCTCAAAATGCTTTATTTATTCAGAAAAATATAAAACATATATAAACAACTTCAATTAACCCTATTTTTGTGACCCGCATTTTCTCTCTCATATATGAAGCATTGTTATCAATTATTTTCATTATTGCAAAAGCAAATAACATAAATTTGATTAGACTCATACGAGGATCCATACAAGAACTATAGATTTGATTAAACAAAGAAAACACCCATTTATAACTCTATATAGCAATATATCATTATTCATTATTCTCCATACAATGCCCCATCAATAATGAGCCTTAAGCTCACATTATTGCGCACCCTATGACGTTATCTTCGTTGACGTATTGACCACAACGGCTCACGTAGCAAGGTTGTCCTCCACCATAGCTATCATAAACAGGTATAGCATAACAAAACCCTCCATAACATGGTGGAGGCCTACAATAATCCTCAAAGCATGGCCCACCAGGCCGGGGATCATTGCATGAAGCACAACACGTTTTACCCGTTATCGGTGGTACCGACTCGGGCGGACCACAACACTGAAAGCATGGCCCACATCGTCGGCCTTCATGGCACGGATCACAACACGTTCTATGTGGAATCGGTGACTCCGGCTTAAAGCATGGCCCATCGCACCGGCCTTCATCGCACGGAACACAACACGTTCCACTTGGAGGCTGCTGCTGCGGCGGATCTGTGGCTGGAGGCTGCTGCTGCGGCGGATCTGTGGTTGGAGTCTGCGCCGGCTGCTGTTTGTTTGGATGCTGCTTCGGCGGCTGCTGTTTGTTTGGAGGCTGCTGCGTCGTTTTAGGCTTTGACAATTCGACAATTTCGATGCTCTTGATGACGCCACATCCTTTACAGCAAAGCTGATCCCTAATCTTCTCCGGGTTACAGCACACCACTTTAATCGTCACAATGTTCTGCTTCTCATCGAAAACCTGGTCTTGAATTTCTCTCGTTCACAAAAATCCAAAACCACAAAAATCCACAAGATGAACTCAATTTTGTGATTCCAAAGAATAACGCGCATGCGAATTTCAAAAGTGAATAATGAAGGGGGGGGGGGTGGAGAGAGAGCGCTGTGAATATTGAGAGAAACTTACGTGGGAATTTACAGAGAACATTCTTGACCTTCTTGTAGCATTTCACACACTGGAGATCAACCTCGAGCTTCATTATTGTCACCTAAACATATAATTACCAATAGTAAGGAACAGAATCAGTATCGATATGATCGATACGATTCACTTGTATGATTAAACGGAAGAGATCATCAAAATGAGTATTTAGGAAGGAGATCAAATGGAATTGTATGTACCTTTTTAGTCATGGCTGAACGATGAGGAAATCGAGCTCAGATATGAGAGAGATGAAAATGATGGAAAAAGAAATTAAAAGTGATAATAACAGTGATGGAGTGGAAGGAAGCGAAGAATGTAACGAAACATGAATGAGAAAGAAAGCGCAAGAAGGATTAAGTAGGCAATTGCTTGGGCTTCACTACAAGGTCCCCTGACCAATCATGTGCGAACACGTGGCATAGAGTTGTTCATAGGATTGTTGTCATATGGAACTAGAAATCCGTGTGGGTGAGCGTGCAATTGGCACCTTCGCACACCAAGTCCCTCAGGCTTTTTTAATTTTTTTAAATTATTATGTAATAATATGGTCTGAACATTTTTCAATTTAATATAATTTTGTCTTATCATCAATGTTTGACTATATTGACCATTATTTGATTATTATGTGTAGTGCTGGGAGCCATGTTCCATATTTAAAAAAAAAAAAAAAACAAATAGATCCATGTAATCTTTTTTATCGCAAGCTCCTCTTCGTCCACCTCCTCCTCCTTCTTCATCGCAACCTTCATTACTAGAAATGAAAACATAGCAAAGTAAACAAAACCCTAACAACCTTAATTAATTGTGATTTTAACAAACAATAAATTTTCATATTGTGAAACTCGAAAACATTATATCATTATTTAGTGAACAAGTTTCATCTTTTAAACAAGAACCCAAATAAAAGTAGAAATGAAAAGGCCATCAAACAAGAAGAAATCAGAACCCAAATTGAATGAAGATTTAGAATAAGAAAAAATAAATCGAACAAGAAATAACGAAGGAAAAACCTAGATCTAGAATGCAACATATAAGTCCAATTGAGAACGATAGGCAAAAATAAGTCAGGAAAAAAAAGAATGAAACTTCATATGAAATTAACAATAATAGATTCTAAGGACTTCTATTTAACAATTTAAATGCAAAATAAAAAAACAAAAATAATATATCTAGAAAAATCAAAGAAGCATCCTCATAAAGGAGATAAACTCAGTTTGAAAAACCACATATCTAAAACAAAAAACTACTAATTGTGGTTGCAAATCTGGAATATTAGTCTTCCATTTAATAATATAACCAAGGATGATAATGAGATAGAGTTGAGAGAGAGTGGCAGTAGTGAGATAAGGTACCACACAAACTAGACGATGGTGTATGGAGGAGTGCATGCACAAAACGGAGGAGAAGGGACACATGTCACGTGGAAGACCACGGTTGGAGTTGATCTTGTGAGTGTTGAAGTGAGAGAGATGCTTGAATAAGAGATAATGTTAAGTATGGAGTATTAGGGGAATAAAGTTGTGTAAGAGCAAGAGAAGGAGAGAGAGGGTTGAGTGTTGTGAAGGTGAAGTGTGGGGCATAGGTTTGAATGTGAGAAATGACAATGAAAGAGAGAAAGAGTATGTGTGCCATTAGATAAAGAAATCATTGGTTCAAGGATAATGATATCATCAACTGTTTGTCATATATAATGTGTACGTTTTAAAATTTTTTTGAGTTAGAAAATTATATAATGGTTTTTTTAAATAACTGCTGTCACACCCGAAAAATGTGACGCGGATGGTGCGAGAGCGAGGGTTCCAGCTTTTAAGAAGAAGACTAAAGAAATGGGAGTCGCCACCAAAATTTTGAGAAAAATCTTGGGAAACCATTTAATGATGGATCAGGGTAATCTGCGAAAATAGAAAATAGATTTGAGAATCGGTTGAGTGTGGAAAAGGTGTTAGGCACCCCATAACACTCGTTCGTCAGAACAGTTACCTGAAGTTTGTTGTGCTCTATTAATATAATTTTATAATTATTTTAATTATCCCTTTTATATTCATGTGTTTAAAAAATGATAAAAATTAAGTGAGAAATATTTATTTATTTACGAGGGAGGACTTGACTCAAAATTTAACTCTAAGGTCTACACACCTTGAGGTAGGGATCAAACTTTACGTAGTTCGGGCTTTGAAAATTGTTGGTAAATTTTTTTTTTGAAAAGAAATTAATTAAAAATAATTCATCATTTTGCAAATAAAACAATTTTTGAAATTTTGATATGTGTGTTTTAAATTGCAAAAAAGTGATTTAATTTTAACTATTTTCTCAATTTTTTAAATTTTTGGAATAAAGAAAAGAAAAGGGTTTAAAAATTATTTTCATCTTTTATTAGTTTTTTTTAGAAAATTTAACTGCTATACCTGCAGAGCCTTATTAGCTCATACAATAATACAATTATTTTAAATATCTGTAGAGATTTCAAAATCTCTCACGATAAAAGAGTGAAATAGTATAAATATTTTAAGTATATTTTAATGCAAAGTCTTATTGACTTTCACGATAAGATGATCATTCTAAAGGTCTATAGACATTCAAAAATCTCATATGACCAAAAGATCTAATGTATTAATTCTATTAATTAATCTTATTATAAAAAGAACATTTATAATTTTATTTATTTATTTATTTATTTATTATATAAGTTAATGACCATAACATTTGCGAGGACTTATTATCTTTCACAATGAGGCGACTAAGCTAAATATCTACGGAGATTTTTTAAACCTCTCATGATACAATTCAAATGTTTTAATTGATTATATTTGTGAAATAATAAGAACAAACTCCTTCATTTAACCATACATTTAAAATCTCCATATGAAAATGATGTCATTTAAAATCAAAATTATCTTCAAGAATTAATCAATTAATATCAAATGGAAATACAAAATAATGTATGACTTTGAGAAATAAAGAAATAAAAATTAAATTTAGGTTGATTAATACTCTTTTATGCTAGAAGACAAACTTAAATCTAACTTATCACTCAGCTTGACAATAAAATTTTTTGTTCAAAATCTTAGAATCAAAAGCTTCATGCGAAAGTATTATAACTAAATCAACCTCATTTTGTGAAAGTAAATAAACATATGTTAGAGCATATTTAAGGTAAGAGACATTATTTAGAGAAAGAAAAACACAATCCCTTTCATGATAAAAATCCACACACATATCTATTGCAAGACTTTAGAATAGGGACGAGATAAAACAAGAACCAGTATAACTTACTTATGGCAGAGTAGAGAAAGGAGAAAAGAAACAGCAACTCAATCTTCATACAGAGATGTAAAGGAATAGCTAGCTCCTAGTTTTGAATTGAAATGTTGCTCTTTCCTCAAGTAAGACGCGGCCTTCACTCTTTTGGCATAGAGAAGGACCTCTCCTCCTTCTCCTCTCATCCTCATTTTCTTTTCTCTCATTTTCGTGCTCTTCTTCTCGGTATACTGCACTGTTTTCTCTCTTCTCCTCTCAGTCTCGATGCTCTCTATTTTTTTTGTCTCAGTCGCTTCCTCTTTCAGCCTCTATTTTCTTCATTTGGTCTCTCTTTTCTTTCCCCTTTCTGTTTTTCCATGCTTTATTTTTTGAGCTTTTTTTTTCATCCTCCATCTGCGTCCCTTCCGTTCGTCTCTTCCTCTTAGTCTCAATGCTCTTCTATCCACGTTCTTTTCCCTCCTCTCATGCTCTTGTTTTCTGTGTTTTTATACTCTCGGTCTCTCTCCCTCTCGGCTTCCTCTTTTTCTCCTTTTCTGCCTTTTTCTTTTAATGCTCTATTTTTTTAGCATTTTTTCTGTGCATGTGTGGTTGTGTGTTTTGTTTTTCCCTTGCTCTTTGGCTTTCTCTGTTGTGTGTTTTAGCACTGGTCTGTTGTTCTAGCTTTCCTTTTCTCTACGTCTGACCAAGTGGCTTCTGCTCGTGTGTGCCTTTTGGTTTTCTTTATCTTTGTGTGCATGGCATTTGAGTGTGTTGTCTCTGTTTCTGTGTTTCTGCGTGTGTGCTGCTGCATGTTTCTGTTGTGTTTGCGTGTGTCTAGCTCTGTTTCTTTTGTTCTGCATTTATTTTCTGCGTTTCTATGTATTTTGCTTCTGCATGCTTCTACTCGTGTGTGCCTTCTATATTTTTTTTTTGAGTTTTGTGTGTGTTGGTGCTGTGTTCTCTAGCTCCCTCTCTTTTGGGATGTGGGGAAATGCTGCGTTTCACCACAGCCTTATATATATTTTTTAATTCTTTTCTTTTCTTTTTAGATTCACACACACACACACACACACACACACACATGTATATATGTATATTTTTAAATGAGAAATAAGATTTAAGGAGAGAAGTTTAACTCATAAAATTTGACTCTCAATATTTTTGAATGATTGGGATAATTTAAAGAGAGATTTTAAAAGATTTAAATAAGATTTTTGATTTTGTTAAAATATAATCCTAAAAAGGATTAAATTTTATTTTTGTATTTTTATACTTTTGATTATTTATTATTATTTTATTAAATTTAAAAAAATGCCCAAAAAAAATACGTGTTCACAACTGCTATATAGTCACTGACTACATAGTTGTTATTTAGAAAGAACTATTATATAGTCTCTAGAAAAAAATTCAAAAAAGAAAGAGATGATATAATGGTGTTCTTTCAAAATAACCGCTATATAGTCTTAAAACTATATAGTGATTATTTTAAAAGAACTGCTATATAATTTCTAAGGAAACAATTCTAAAAAAACAGAGATTATATAATGGTTTTTTGAAATAATCGCTGTATAATTTTAAGATTATATAGTGGTTATTTTAAAAGAACCGCTATATAGTTTATAAGAAAAAAATTCTAAAAGAAAAGAGACTATATAGTTTTTTTTGAAATAACTGCTATATATATAATTTCAAGATACTATATAGTGATTATTTTGAAAGAACTGCTATATAGTCTAAAAAATATTAAAAAAAAGAGAAAGATTATATAGCAGTTTGTTGAAATAATCGCTTTGTTGTTTCAATACTATATAATGGTTATTTTAAATAATTACCATATAGTCTCTTTTCTTGAATTCTGCCTCAATTAATATGGTGACTCTTTCAAGAACAACTATATAAATAATGCTATATAGCCATTTTTTTAATAGTGAAGACCCAATTTGTGACTTAGTATTGCGCATTCCTTTGACTCTAATGGAGTCTAATGAGGATTATTTATGTTTTTATCATTGGTTTAAGCTAACAATAGTGTTCATGAATATTAACGATGGATTTAAAGTTAATCCTAACTATAATAAAT